ATCAGACGAGCAATCGTATATGGCATGATCGTAATTTCTATACGCGGGCAGTTTCACAGGTGCCCATCTTGGTTTGTTAACCAGCGAGAAAAGAAATGCCGATGAATCGTATCGATACCCGGGGCAACTGCTGTAACCTGTTCGGAAAAAAAGAAATGAAAAGCAAGATCAATGCCCAGGTTTTAAAAATCCCAATTTGTACAGTTCGTAAAGTGACAAGAAAATATGTACTACTTGTTATAGTTTAATTCCCTTAGTAAAGATACGAGCCTCGTAAAAGTTTGTTTTTAATAGGTTTTTAACTACTCTTACTAAAGTATTTAATCTGGGAACAAAGAAACTGGCGCATATTTGAAAAGCTAAACACAACAAAATTACAAATAGCGATAATAAATCGCAGAATAATAGTCACTTGTCTAACCTGTGTACAGACGTCCCCCCAGCTTGGGAGACAACTCTCTTCTCCTGATTTTTTCTGAGAAGGAGGAACTTCTGTACAGAGACTATCACTTGTCGTCACCTACGACAAAAAGGCTTGAATTGTTCAGGTATCGTTTACTACAGTGGAACCTTGTTTTAATGAACCTCTATATAACAAATTAAAGTCCTCGGTGTAACAAACAATTTTCGTTACTCCAGTAATAATAAAATATATGGAAAAGAACCTCGATAATACGAAACTTCGTTATATAGCGAACAAATTCTGCCGGTCACTTGGTCCTTCGTTATGCCGAGCTTCCACTGTACATTCAGATTAACTTCCGAATTACTCCCTGCTGTCTTGGTCGTGGTCCAGCTCTTCAAAACGCTATTCGGCGACAAAGTACATCACAATTGTGCAAGGAAAACTTGAGTGAAAAAAGAAATATACCCTTGTAATAGCTGACACTACAGGGGCCCCCGTTCTTACTATGTTGTTTGTCGATTGTATGCTCGGTCTTTGTGTAGCTTTTTGAAATATTACACATATTCATACTGAAGGTTTTCAAACATAATCCATGATCATCATCATCACCATGATCATCATCATCTCTTTCTTTTATTAAAACACGATAAGACTTAAAGCTCAACGCTTGAGGGGCCGTATAAAAATGATTACGATATAGAATTAAAATGAAAAATGAGGATAAAATTACTTACAACAAACAACTACTAACAACAAAAACTGTAAAAAGATATGATAAGATTCTAAAAAAGATACAAAATGTATAAGTAGATTTAAAATGAATTTATATTAATAATCACCTATAATAAGTAATTGACTACAGCAATTAAAACATAGAATAGTTAAAAAATCGTGTTAGTGCTTTGGGAGCCACTAGACAGACTGATGCGCTAATATAAAATTGAGTGTGCGTCATACAATAGGTGAGATAAAACAGGAAACGTAAGTTCTAGTCATTTCTGTTAATTTTTTTAAACTACAACAGCACTTGAGACAATAGTACGGAATCCTTTGCCTTAAAAGCACTCATCGCGTAGAATGCCCGGTCACGTCCGGCAATTTAACAGGCTAGAGCCGCATTCGAGCCACGATTTGGTCTTTAAAATATAGCGGAATAATAAGACTGAAGCGACTTTCGGAGTTTTTTGTCTCTGATTGTGAGTTACTCGTAACAACATCTCAATGGGTACCACCAGAATATTTATATCAAGAAACATCAAATTCAAGATCTTGCCTTCGATTAATGCCAGCTTATCGGATTTCACTGGGTTTTTCGCGCTCCAAACCAACCAAAAATTGCCATTTTTGTATGGATTTTCACCTGCGTAGACTTTCGCGGAAAGATTACAACCAAAGTTTGCAGAAATCGCGAACGGTACCACCTGATATCGTGATATCTCTTGTCTGCCTTTAAAACCACCACAGTCTTTTAAACCAAGGATTGTGATAAAAACTGTGTTTTGTGTTTTCCTTTGAATTTGACCTGAATTCGTGAGGGGTAGCCAGCGCGAAGAAAATTTCCAGAAAACGTATTTGCAAGCCAGAAAAAAAATTATCCGCGTTTCGGCCGCCATCTTTTTTATTTTTCAAACTTGTTTCCAGTACTCTTTGACCGTTTTATTGTATTTACCTCATGTATGCTTCATTCAGAAGTGTCACGGCTAAAAACAGCAAAATACTAACCCCTACCCGGACGGGAAATTTTTTGTTGACCTCAGTGAACCCAAAATTCTACGCGACGCCAGCGCCTAAGACGGGGACTAGGGGGAATTAGGAACATCGTGCGTATCGCTGAAAAAATATTGGCTAGTTCTCTGAATAGACACAATGAAAACCGTTTTTGTTCAGTAAGGAGCTGTTAGATCAGGGAAAAGCGACAGAAAGTAGAGGGTCTGGATGGGGTTAACTGACAACTGACAAATGGCCAAAATTTTAACTGACAACTGACAAATAGGCTAAAATTTAACTGACAACTGACATTTGTAGAGGGTTTTACTGACAACTGACAAAAGATCTTATTGCCCTAAATATCCTTCAAAACCCGTTGTAAATAACAATGTTTTACTCTTTTCGTCAAACAAATGCACGTTTTATATTAAATCTTAGCAGCAGGACGCTTGAGTGTCATATTTCGTTAATAATTTACTGTATGACCCATGTACATCAGGGTCATAATTTTCACCTCTGATCTCGAACTTACAAACTCACGCTGAGCAGTCCCGAGCACGCGCCAGCTTACATGATGTCTGCCAATGCTGGCGTTATTAAAGCGATTGTAAGCTTTTACCGCGTTAATTCGGATACGGCATTCGAAAGACATAGAAGCCGTTTTCCGATAAATGACTTAAATACAGTACATGCTCTCAAAAAGCACCTTATTCAATTCCTTGGTCTCAAGGAACTAACAATTAAATACGGCCTTGGAGATTTCGATATAAAGCTTTATCGGATGGCACCGAAACCGGGCGGGAAAAGTGATAACTTCGCCATCACAACGGACGACCAGTGGAAGATGGAGCTTCCAAGTATGCTGGATGACTCAGGAAGCGAAATGAACAGTATGTATTTTTCTAAGTGCTTGTGTATTTGTTTCATGTAGTGGTGTAAATATAAGCATGCAAGTTAGTCCGGAAAACCTTCTGGGTACTGTCACGCTTTCAGAATATTTTCGCTCTTGTTTTCACGTAATGCACTATGTAACATTTATTTTTCTTGAAATTATTTATGTTATATTTACGGTGGCCTAATGTATGACTACATTTTGTAGCTTTGCGGCAGTGGTGCGAACCACCCGTGTGCTTGCTTCTCAACACCTTTCCTGGAGGGATCGTTACACGTCAGATTTTAGTGGTGTCGGTTGATCGTATGTAAATTCATACATTAAAACACGCAGTACATCAGCTAAAAACAAAACATTATAGAAACCAAACACTTCACCCATGCTTATAGTAGATATGTTTCATGTTTCACAAGAGAAAACATATTTTGTTTGTTACCGTACTCTCTTCCCAACGCGCCTGTTTGGGCGAGTGCAATATTCCCCGATCACCTTCATCCCAGCCAATCACAACTGAGCCATTGACAAACAATACCCAATAAAATCAAACGAACAAAAAAAGAAAGAACTCTTGCGATATTTGTTTGTCTTTCTCGCGATATACTTCAAATATTTTGAAGGTGAATTTTGATGCGCTAAGGATCTAAGGGTTAGAGAGGAATGTTTTGCTCAGGCAAGCAGGAGAGTAACGATAGAAAGCCGCTTGTAATGAATTCAACTCCAAATTTGAAAAAAAAAGGTTATTAGTGTAGCAATGTTCGAATTAAATTTTGGATAAAAAAGAAATAACTAAATTACGTAATTAATTATTAACAGCCAATTAACTGACAACTGACAAATGGCCTTAAATTTAACTGACAACTGACAAATGGCCAAAACTTTATTGTACCTACCCCCCAAAGTACATCACATCAGAATACGGCACAGGACTAGCCTCTCAAAAATAGATGAGCATACAAGACCAATCATTATGTGAAACAAAGAAAAATTCCTTCAGGGAAAAACTTATGGCTATGGAAAAGACTCGAAGGTAGAAAGTTAGGATCGTAGCTTGTTTTCAGGTAACATTTCCTCAGGCCCGTACATGCGTAAAAAAAATCCATAAAGGTTAACAAAAAACGATCATTTTAGTCCATGACTAAACAAAAATTAATTGACTGGACAGTGCTCTAAAAATTGATAAGCGACGATTATTTTTCTATATATTTAAAAGAAAAGCTATGATGACTTCAGCCGTGCTCCCATAAAGACCAAAGAATCATATATCACTAAGGCACCAAGCCAAGGGAAAATAGAGCAAAAATTTCCATTTTTTCCCTTGACAAAAGCACTATGTTACCTGTTTGACACAAACGGACCTATGAAATCAAGTTTAACTTCCCAAGTGACAAAATAAATCTTTCATTTTTTCCTTTTTTCCAAGCAAATGTGCAGTTACCGTAAATTATCGATTAAGCGCCGCTACTGGAATAAACGCCGCTACGGAGTAAACGTCCGACCTTTGTTAGACTTGTTATGGCGCTTGATATAAAAAGACATCAAAACCATATCGCTTGACAAACAAGACCAAGACCCAATCGTGAGTTCTAAAGTTATAATGAGCGGAAACTTTCGAAACCAGGTTCATATAACAGTTCGAGGTGTGCATATTTGTCCTTTTTCTTGCCGAACTCTGACTTCTCTCTATATATTCCCCTTAGTGTTTTACCCGCAGTTGAAATAAGCGCCCCTCCCTAATAAGCGCCGCACTTTTAACATGGAAAATGAAATGGGCGCCGCGGCGCTTAATCGATCATTCACGGTAACTACCGATCTCCGACGGACATATCGGAAACACTGAAAACACTCAAACTGGATGAGAGTATAACACATTCAAGAAGAAACAAATTTGTGATTTTTCACAACTCGATAAAGTTAAAAAATGTGTACTCCTATTATACAAAATTTTTCTTTTCAATTTCATTTTTTTAAGATGGAGCATTATATTTAATTACCCCCCACACTCACTAGACATTGCTTCACAATCTTCGTGTTAAAATCAGTGAAACACTCCACTTGCATGGCGTACATTTTGAAGAACATTTGAAAACAATTTGGATTCCTACCCTTATACCTTCATTAAAAATAAATTTGGGTAGTTTGCTGTTTTCTAAAAGTAGTTTGAACAGCCGAACGAAATTGTTTACACGGAAAGGGAAAGCCAAAGCTTCAGTTTTTACTTCTAAGGTAGAAAGCAAAACGCGAGAGCCGTACTTGAGGGCAAAGTGTCTAACCTAATTTTCTCACCGATTGCAAGTGCCATTTCATCCACGCATAACCTCATCTAGTTACCAGAATTAGCAAATGTAATAGGGAAACGTTTAATACGAGAGAACTGAGCAAGAAGTTGGGGTAAGTTTTGAGAATTGGGCGAACACCTGGAAAATCCTGGCTACGCTCCTGATAGAGACGCTCCTGAACATCCGAAAGGAAAAGCCAAAGGATAGTTCCAAACTGAACCACCCATTAGTAAAAATAGATCATGAAGTTGTCGCGGCGGAGGATGAACTTGAACGCTTCTGATCAAGTGCAATTTTTCAAGGGAGCCCAGACAAGATTCTTTACGATGGGCACAGCTTGTTGGTCGTCTTACTAACAAGCACATTACCACTACTTGTCTTCAGAGGTGTTTTGAGTTTACGAGCAGAGAAAATTAGGTTTTGACGGTTAGAAAATGAGGATGCCAGAGTGAAGACGCCTTTTGTATGATGACCTCATCATCCTACAGTAAAGAGCGTTCGTTTTTTACAACTGATATTACATCAATCGGTACACTTACGTTGTCGAAAGGTCCGTGAGCATGGTGAATGATTTTACATTAAACTGCAGACACATCTTAAGTCACACCGTGAAAGAACACCATTTTTGTTCGCGATATCGGAGAAACACTCTGGTCGCTTTACTACTGAATTTTCTTTGCTATTTTCTTTATTTAGAATCAGGACTATCTTGAGTTATCCATTCATGGACTAGCGATTTTAAGCTTTTTCAAGAAAACTTAAATCTGGAATTGTCCTTAGGGAGAGGCATTTGCGCACAGTTTTAAAGCCCCTCAGTGGGGTGACTGGGGTTTTCTTATCTCCTGTGCTCATCCCTCATTCTTCTCAACCTCTTCCAAACCAATTTTCCTGTTTATCACAAAGCACTTTATCGAAAGACCAAGAATCTCCTCAAACGAAAATAAAAACTAAATAATTTTGCACGGAACCGTTGTTAATGGCGTTCAAGATAGAACGAGTCTATTTATTACTTTGCCAGCGCCCAATTTGGAAAACCCGGAAGTAATGATGTTTATTTCAAGGGCTCATGTCTCATGTCTCATGAGTTCTTCAAACGCTGTAAATACATGTAGCTGGAACTATCATCGCATCCTCGCTCACTAATAATGATAACTTATATCAATTTTATTCCCTGGCTAAGTTTTTCACGGATTCTTCAGTTCAGTTGTTTGAAACCAGGCGGTTTCACGTGAATTGTAACGCCATGCAAGGAAAGTGACGATCGACCCGCGATATGCGTGGGGAAATATTACTTTTTTTTCGATCAAGGTGGAAATTGGCATCTTTGTCGTCAAGTAAGGCAATGCATTTCCATTTTCATTATCATGGTGAATTTTAAAAGCTCTGGTTTCGATAAAGGAACTGGAGGAAAATTAGAGAAATTCCAGTTGGACTGTTATGGTTGCATTTTATTTACGCGTCGTAGCATAAATATAACAAATTCATTTTCCTTTTCCTTATACAATCTGCCTTTTTCTACTGTTTTTCGCAGCAGAGCTATGGCTGATATTACAGAGGCTAATTTTATTATATAGACCACTCAGATTTAGTGACAGAATTTCTATTATCGATTGTAATTTTGGCAACACCTGGCGAGTATTCGGTGTAAAGCTTATTGATAAAGTCGCTAGAACACTCTTTCATTCATAACTTTTGTTTCCGCTCCATTAAATTTGCCCTTTTTTAAATAACGAACTCGATTTAACTACAAACAATGAGTATTCAGGCAGAGTGGCAAGCTTCAATGCGATGTGGCAAGAGAGATATACGCCTTTGAATTTCTGTTAATTTTACAGGTGTAAAAATTTCAAAAAGTATACCCACCAAAAGTTTAATCGATCGTTGCGAAAACGTTATCAATTTCGAAGTAGTTTCTAAAAATACAATAAAGAGGGATAGTTCTTTCAACGTGTATCGGCAAAGGAAGATTAGCTTTGAGGACAGGGTTGTAGTCGACGGCACAAAAACATCTTCTATTAACCAATATGGCGCCGGTCCAAAGGAAGAAATTAGAACCTAAAGTTACCTATTCCTTATTAAAGACCCCAAATCATCAAGTCTACATGCCAGTTTTTAGCCAATTCGGTGAGATAGTGTAGCAGCGACTTTTCAATATAGTTCGAATCTTACAGACAACTGCTCTTAATAGCAAGTGAGAAACTCATGAAAGTCTATCTACTGTGGCCTTTCCGGTACCGATTGAATAAATAACAAGTAGCTATAAAAAAAAAAAATGCTGCACTACAAGACTCAGTCAGAGGGTATAGAAGAGAGATTTCTGCAGCCATGTTTTTTGCAAATCCAGACAGATATATATACATATATATTGCTTGGTGTCTTATTTTCTAATTGGTATATGTCTCAGATAAAGTAGGAAGTTGTTGTCATTTGAATAACATTCCTTCAATCTGCATATCCAGATAAAGGTTTTAGCTAAAAGGCAACATAAAATTATATGGAGCTTAAAGGATGAGCTGTCTGGAGTAAGGATCGAAACGGTGGTCATATATGTCTAAGTAATTGTCTGGTTGGAGGATCTGGCACGACTCAAGCCATTTTGGCATTTCCAAAACAGATGCGTCAAATCCTCTTTCTCGTCGCGGCAAAAAGTACACTTTCCGTCCTCTCTAACTCCTATTTTTGTAGATAGCTGTTAGTTGGTAAACGTCTATGTAAAAATCTGAAATTAAAATTAATTAGTTTTCAGATCGTTGTACAAGTGTTTGCTGCTTGAAAAACGTTTCTCGAGTTAACATTTTTACCGGTTGAAGAGCAGATGTCTTTATACCATTTGTTGTTTGAAAACAATTCTAGATGAATTTTGGCAATTGAAAAATGTGTTGAAAGAACTGTCATGCTGCTGGTGTGTTCCCGGGATTTGTCGTTGCAAAGATTTCACGGCTGAGACTATTCCGAAAAACATTAAGGGTATTACTCAAATATCATATCTATTCTGAAAATGGTCGAGGGAAAAGCAGTTGAGAGAATTATCGTCCATTAGATGTTTAACTTTTTGTGTTATTGATGGTAGGTCAATCATTGCAGAAAACTCAGGTGCGGAATATTAATGAATTTTGCAACAAAGGTAGAGATGAGAAAATGATATTATAATACTATTCTCCCCTCAAAGGAAGTGTCAGGCCAAATTTCTGCAAATTCTTTGGCAAAAGGGTCTTCTATCTTTAGCTTATAAATATCCTTCCTGTTAAGATTTCCTAATGACAGACCTTCTGAGCAGACTATAACTTCTAACTTACCATCAATCTATGTTCCTGTTTATATTTAGTGAGCTCACTCAGAACTTAATGACATGAGTCTACCATAGCTATTTCTCAATTTAGTTCTTGTATCGTTGCTAAATGAGTATTTACCACTTAATCTAATAATGCTACCCATTCATACTAAAAAAATCTGACGTATTTGTGGTTATTTTTCCCGCAGCTACACGTAGTTTACGCTCAATGAACTAATGTGTGGTCATTGAACTACACGTCAAAGTCACATAATAGGTGAGATGAAACCAGGATTCCATGCTATTACTCAGGTTGATATCAGTATACGTAGCTTTGATCAAAATACTCTCTCTAGATCTGTTTAATTTTTTTGGTGAACTATAACAAGACTTGATTAGAAGTGGTAAATTTCCCCATCTAACTTGCACTATTTACATACAGTTTTCATGTTAGTTTTAAGAGAAGTAAAGGGAAGCTAAGCCTTGATCAATTCACACTCGCCTTCTAGTTATTTTTTATTACTGATTTTTTAATTACAACGGCACTTGAGACAATAGTGCGGATACTTTGCCTGAAAAACTCTTTAGAGAGGAAAAACCCTGAAAAGAAAATGCGTCAGCACAGAATTTAATTGTCGGCGAATTCGCAACTCGAATACGATATAAAACGTCCTAATTTTAGTTTTATGGGGAATGTGACCACAAGACAACGATTTTCTTTCTCTAATATTTGGTAGAAACTTTTCGAATTTAAACCCAGAATTATTTATCTTCATTTGGCGAATTGACCGAAATGGGATAAGGGTGATAAAATTACGTGAATGCACCTTTTTTTTAGTCTTCTTCGTGGTAATATTATTTTCTACTTCAAATACTTCCTTGGACAATTTTACTTGCTAATAATGCCCAGTTTTAGAAAAACCAAACCACTTACCCCATGAGAGGCTGGTGTAACCTCCAAAAATGTATTTTCCGCCGACTCTTATTATTGTTACAGTTGGTCCTTTGTTGTCACATCCGCTGTGAAAAGTACTGGCAGCCCAGCCATCCACGGACGCACGCCAACAACGCTTCCATCGTGAAGATTTGCTCTGAGCAACTGGTTTGAGCCAGGTGCTTAAATATTGCAAGTAGTTAGCATCATTCCCCACAATAGTAGACTGTTTCAAACCCCCTACAAAAATTAGCGACAAAGTTATTACTAATTTACTTACTTAGGTTCACCAATTCTTGGCAGGGTCACCGCAACAGCGCGTGGCGTTTATTACCGAGGGCCCAAAACAGTCCCGCCCACCTTGGGAGATAGACCACAGCACCGGAGAATGCGTCCCTACTCTTTACGAACAGAGCATGAGTTCTTTAAAGCGGTTGGGGAGACGGGGCCTACGGTTTATCGTCCTTGTCTGAGAAGACTAAAAATTTTAACCTTTTGTAGATGCCTTTTCCAAGGAAACAATTTAGCCTCTCAGTCAGCGGCAGTTAAAGACCCTGAGTTGGTGGCCTCGAACGGACCCGGGAATTTAAAAATTCTTTTTCAATGCGAATCGGATTCTTACCTTGCGAGGCAAAATTATCAATTTTAGTTTCGAATGCCTTTCCTCACAGCAAGAGTTTAAAACTAGGGGTAATAATAAGGCTGAATATGTAGCCTGCGTTGCAGGCGTTGGAAGTAACGGGCACGCAAGCGTGTCTCCCTCGAGCGCGCGGCCGTTCTCTCTTTCGCCCACTACTTCCTAGTGCCTGCTACGCATGCTACGGAATATGCAAAATATTAACCAGGCCACCGAATTAAACTGCAAACTTCAGACTCGTAAGAAGGAGGAGGATACCATGTCGCCTGCGCAGCTACTCTTCTCCATAGCGTGTCATTTAGAAAGGGAAATCATAAAAAGACACTCGAAAATTTAGACGTTGCAGTAGAAGCTACTGAATGATGGCCATTGAAAACATAAGAACTCCGCAATAAAAGAGCGTGATACTAACACGCCGCGTATAACTCGTGGCTATCCTATACCTATTTTTACGTGGTGCGTTTCTTGTGTATAACGCTAGTTTCTCTTCCCAATTAATAGCCTGCTCAGTCTTTTCAGTGTTTCGTACATTTCTTTACACGCCCCACCCATTTCTCCGCATTGATGAACTATCTCTTTACCAGGAGCTCCCCGCTCCTACCGTCTCCGGCTAGGTCTCCCCTATATTATTGGGATCACGGGAATTGTTTGCTGATGGCTTCAGTGAGAATAGATTACTGTAAATCAACTTGCTGTTCATCATTAACATGCAGCGCTGCAATTTTGTATCTGATCATACTTGCGTAATTGAGCTCGCACTCAAAGCCGTCTCCAAAGTAGCCTTGATCACAAGTGCAAGTAAATGAACCACGATAATTTGTGCAGCTGGCGACCTGATGGCAGTAATACTTGTCCCTACTGCATTCATTGAGATCTATCCAAAATAAAAACAAACTATTTATCACGATTAACACACCAAAATACGATTTGTTAGGGGGACGTAAATTAAAAACCACAACTGATTTCATTGAAGTTTTTAATATCAATTGTGTCTGTTTTTAACCTCGTTAAGGGCTTTTCCTTTGTGAATTTACAAATCCCTCACCTCTATACCTTCTACCACTTTCAAAGGAAAATCCTTACAAGTACATTCTTTCCATTTCACGTTATTTGGTGGTATGAAATATAGATTTCTAATAATATCATACGCTTCATGATGCTGCCATTTATTCATTCAGCTTGAACTCGGTCCTTCTTCTTGTGCATTCCTAAACTTATACATCACATCTTACCTTTCTTACAAGTATACTGATGACAGTCACTGCATTTCACGTCATTCCATTCATATTTATATTCAACACCAAGTGTATGCACACAGTCTTCATCCCGAAAATTGTTCGGTTGGTTTTTAGCCCAAGTTGTAAAGTTCCCAGTACCACGATCTGCCCAAGTAAAGGAGCCCTCTGTGAACATATCATTCAATCCCAGCCAGGATTTTGCTCCATTCTGTAGATGCTGTAAAAACACATTTTCTTCGTTATTTTGGACATCAACAAGAACCGAGTTTTCTTGTCGGCATTTATCCAGTGCTGTGGTCCAATTTTGACAAGTCTTACTTGTGAAATAGCAAAAGCCGTTGAAATAGTTCCAGCCAGGTTCACAGATGTCTGCGAAATACAGATAAACGTAAGCGTCAAAAATATATACATTCAAATAAACTGCCGGATTGATAAATCCTTAGCAGCATCTCACTCGCAGTACTGTTAGGAGCGAGATGCGAAAATGTTTTCCAAAGCTTAATGGTTTCAAGGTACTAGTAAGATATTATTGGATAGAAGACTAGCGATAGGGATATACCACTCGCATAGAGATAAAATATATCGAACTATTCAAACGATTGTTTTAAGCATGGTGCTTTTAATTTCTAGCAAGGTCTTTCATCCTCGTTATTTATAGCCTCCCCGCAGACGTCAGTTTGGGGTTCGTTTGTCACGTATGAATGCGTGACAAACGAACCCCAAAGGACGTCTGCGGGGAGGCTACGTTATTTATCCTTTAAGGAAACTTTTAATTAAACGGTGAAATTGTTCGAGGGGTAGGAAAATTATAACTTGAAAGAATTTCAAGAATCTTTTTTATGTCAACAGGTACACTCTCTTGACTACGCCATAACCTGCAAACCATCAACTTGCATTGTGTTATTAGTTTAGGGCATTTCCAAAGTATTTCCAGATGAATCCGGTAACAAATAACGTTTCTTTTTCCATTTGCTAAAAACTACTTCATAAATGAACTCAGTAATATTACAGACCTGTGAGCACGGCATAACCGACGGACAAGGGGTCATATCTGGTCCCGTATAATTCCTTGACACAGGCTCTGAATCCAGAGGTATTCATGTTCTGAAAAAAAAAAAAAAAAAAGCACTCAACGTAGTTTAGTACTGCTAAAATTGTAGTCATAAACAACTGAATTAAAAGGAAGAGAATACCAGAATATTTTTAAAACGTTCCCCTACGTCTTCTTATGTAACATAGAGATGCGAAGATTCGACGTGAATTAACACTGTGGTTTGATGAAAGTAATTAAAGAAAGGTATAAAAAAATATACGGTGAATTAATGCTCGGAATTTTATCCAAAATATCCTTTTTACCCTAATAAGGGGCACGGCTGTGGCACAAATGAGCTATGAGGCCCAGAAGGACGGATCTAAAGATCCCTGTTGATGAAGAAAGCAGCCAAATGATTGGAGCAAAGTTTCGTGTCCAAGGAAAGAGCTCTAAAGTAACGTTTAAAACCGCACAATCAGATCTGAAGTTCGAGCCCACCGCGCGCGGCCCCTGCTGATAATTTAAAGATATTATTTTGTACCGACACCATAATCGTATTCGATAATTAACGTCAAAAGGAAGCCGATAAGCAATCTCAACTTCACTTGGCACATTTTTGCGCCACACCTATTATCGACCTATACATCGCCTCAAGCAAGCGTGCTTCTCTGTTCAGTTATATCTTTCGTCGAGTGTTGGTTTGAAATTTGTTTGCCCCGATAGATCCCCACAATCCTCCCCAATTACGGAAAATTTTACCTCTATCCAAGTTGTAATTCCGTTGTGATTTGGTGCTGAATTCCCAGATGCCGTCGTGCTGTGATTGGCTGAGAGGAGAACTGTCGGAGTCGAGTTATAAGCTCTCGTGAATGAAACGAACTGCCATGGAAGAGAAACGTAAAACGTTTAACACTGTTCCTTAATCACTAAAAGCTTCGGTTCCCGTCAATGTGTTTATTTTTGAAGTCCCAATTGAACAAGCAATATTTGCGATTAATCATTTTAACAGAACAAACTGCCACTTTGATGTCTTGATATGTCTGATATAACAACATAATAAGATATAAGAACTTTATTTAAGTGTCAAACGTATATGGCTAATTGGGGACACTTATCTAAAATTACATAATAATAATAATAATAATAATCTATGATAATGCTAATTATAATGATATATTCTAATTGGGCACACTAATCTAAAATACATAGCAATTCATGATAATACATAGTAAAATCTTAAAAATCTTAAAATCATAAAATTAGGATCTGCAAAGGTCACAACAGTCACAGTTATTTTCTTCTAAATTTGATCCGAAGATTACATTATTATTCTGTTCCTGTTACAGGCCTCCGGATTCAGACCCTAGTTGGGTATATTTATTTAGCTTTCTAGATCAAGTCTGCGATCAGTTTCAAAATATGGTAATTTGTGGTGACATTAACTTGCCGAACATCTCCTGGGACTCCGTGGATAGCGTTAGATTCAATCTCAAGCGCTTATGGTTAATTTGAAGCTTAACTCTAAATCTCATCCCATCCCAAGCCGTGTTTCCATGGTAACCGTCCCAGACTACTCCGCTGACCAGTCACAGAACCCTTCAAGAGTAAGTGCTGATACACCTGAGGGAATAGCTGACCTGTTTAACAGTTTTTTTGCCTCTGTATTTACTATCGACAGCGCAGTGGAGAAGACAGCGTGCATACGTTTGGACACTGTTATATCCGATCTAACTCTCAATGAGTCCACGATTCTAGCTGCATTCAAAGCACTAGAAGTCGGTAAAGCCACAGGGCGGACGAAATCCCTGCTAAATTGCTCAAGGAGACTGCCTCAGTGATTGCTCGTTCCTTATGTAGGATCTTCAACAAATCACTTCAACTAGGGTCTCTCCCGAGGGACTGGAAACTAGCTAACGTCGTGCATGTCCACAAAAAGGGTGCAAAAGACCGGGTAGAAAATTACCGTCCCATCTCTCTACTCCCAATAGTGTCCAAGGTCTTTGAGCGTTGTGTGTTGAATAGCATCAAGGACCACCTGTACCACGTAATTTCACCTAAACAACATGGTTTTTGTACTGGAAGAACGTGCGTCACCAACTTGCTTGAGGCTTTTGGCCACATTGGTTCACTAATTTAGTTAGTGGCGGCCAGGTTGACACCATCTACCTTGATATGTCAAAAGCTTTCGACAAAGTCAGTCCCAGGCGCTTCGTCCATAAGCTAATCCAGGCCGGTATGGGTGGCAACCTGCTTAACTGGTTCTGCTCTTAACTGTCAGGTCGACACCAACGCGTTACGGGTACTCGGCGCCGCTTCAGAGGATCTTCCTGTTACCTCTGGACCAGCCGGCTCTTCCTCTTATACTTCAACGACCTTCCTGAAGTCATCAGTTCTAGTAGTCGAGTAATGATGTTTGCCGACGACACAAAAACATTCAGAGAGATTAAGAATTTGAGCGGTGTCTCTTCTCTCCAGAAAGACCTTGGTAAGCTTGTAACTTGGTCTCAATCATCCGGTCTTCTTTTAACGAAGCTAAGTGTGTAAGGCGCACCACATAAAAAGGAAAACAAAGCCGATCTTATCCTCTTACAAACTCAACAACACCGCACTTGTGATATGTTGCAGAAAAAGAGATGGGCGTATGGATTAGTAAGGATCTGACATGGTACAAACAAGTAAACGAACAATCTTCGCGTGCTAATAAACGAATTTATACTTAAAGAGGAACACGAGGTTCATACTTAGAACCGACGTAAGAGGAACGCTATACCCAGCCCTAGTCAGGCCACATTTGGGATACGCCACCCAAATTTGGGCCCCGCAGTCCATCGAGCTCATTGTCAAGCTAGAGCGTGTCCAAAGACGTACGACTTATTCTTCTAATATAAGTTTTAAGTCTCGTTTCCAAACTCTAAACCTAATACCTATTTGTTACAGGCATGAACTTTTAGATCTAACCTTTTTTTTTTTTTTAAATTGACACACGGTCTTGAACGTGAACTCCTCTGTCCTAACCTGAAGTTCGCAAATACGGTAGACGCACTAGATCGTCAACCAGCAATGTTAATAAATACATAATTAAGAAATGTAAAACTACTACGTACCAGAAATCTTTTCTCACTAGAACTTGTCGAATTTGGAATTGTTTTCGTGGATGAACTAGATTTGAGCTCATCGACCTTAGCTTCCTTTAATAGGTTGTTTTTAATTATTATAAGTCCGCTTTAGCTGTTTCTTATGATTGTGAAGACCCACGTTCGTTCAAGTCTATCTGTTCAAAATGAAACAATGCTCGTCCCTTGTCTCGTCCAATAACTTGTTGTAAGTATACTAGCTGTAGTTTTTCTTGTATCGCTGTGTTTTTTAATATCTCTTGCTTTTATTTTTTTATTAGTATCTTGGCCCAATGTTCTTTCTGTTTGTTTGCTTGTTTGTTTGTTTTTTTGGCGAAGCTAATAATGAAAAAATAATAAAATACCAGAAATATCTAAATATCTGATAGCGTTCTTCAAAGACTGAAGACTAGGTGATTACTTGACTTTGTTGTTTAGTCTCTTCCATAGTAAAGGTCCAAAGTAACGAAACGAATGTTTGCCGTAGGTTACAGTATTGAATCTAGGAGGTAAATGAAAGTCCTTGTTTCGCAGAGACTACCTCGAATCATTTAAATTGAAAAGTTCTGCTAAGTCGATAGGGGCGAGGTTGTTCTTGACTTTTTACAAAAGTATTGCTATATCCTGCAATCTACGATTTTGCAACTTGGTTAGTCCTGATATTTTAGTATTGTCTGGTAAGAGGCAGAATTAGTTCTGTATACCGTTCTTAAGGCACGTTCTTGAAGGCGTTCTATTTTCCTGCTGTCTGAGGCCTTGCAGAAGTGCCATACCAGCTGGCAGTAGGTAAGGTATTAATCAAGGCAGGATGGAAGACTTATAGAAGACTTACAGCTGAGCAGGAAACAAGATTGCGCAGGCGCATTGGGATATCCCTACTTTCTTACTGACTTTCTTACACAGTTCACTAATATGATTACTAAAGTTCGTACTGGAATCAATGTGGACGCCAAGTAGTTTGATGTAATCTGTGTTTGTAATGACCCTACCATCTATGCTCATATCAGTGTATTAGCCTTCAATGTCAATATCTCTATTATAAAGGATCATCGCCTGGAATTTGTCAGGATTTGTGAGTAGAACATTATCAAGATACCAAGACGCGGCAAGTTGATCTTCCTGCTCTAAGGCTTCCCTTTCAGCTGTAAAATTAGTCCGTGAGGTGTACAACTGGTGCTCGTCTACATATATCGAAAGTTTAGCGGTAGTTATGGAGCAGGGCAGGTCATTCTGAAATACGTTCTAGAGCAGGGGGTTGAACATTTTGGCGGTTGTTAAAGAATGATCGCGCGAGGTCCAACGCTGAGGACTCAAAACCGTATGCTTCAAGCTTTGTTAGTGTCGGCGAGTGGCTGAGAGAGTCAAACGCTTTACTCATATCAGTCGATAGAATACATACTAGCTCTTTTCTGTCTATTGCTAGCTTCCAGTCCTCATTCAGACGTAGTAGAGTGGTCTCACAGCTGTGTCCCTTTCTGTAAGCAATGCTTAGGCTAGAAAAGATGTGGTCGAGTTTCACAGCACCTGTTTACAGCGCAGTTGCTCAAACACTTTGTCGATGGTTAAGAGGGACGTTATCAGTCTGTAGTTTTTGACCTCTTGTCTTAAAGTATTGTTTAGTGGACCAGCTTCTTTACTTTTCTAGTCACTTTGATCTCTATTGCGTAAAGTGTATATGACTAAAAGTGTTTTGAAAATATAAACAGTGATGTAAGTAAGCGATATATCTGTGAGGGAAAATGCTGTGAACAGCATGCTACTCACTGCTTTTGCAAATAATTCTTTTCTCACCTGGCAATAAGCATTGTTCATTTTATCCAAAGGTGGGTTCGTATTTGGAAAATTTATGACACCATGTTCGGTGAAAAGAGGCTTGTGCAGTTTAGAGAAGGCAAACCAGTTCTGTGAAAAGAGGTAAAAACAAAAGTGATGCCACCCATAGTCTTGGGACAGAATCGTATTACACCAACAAAAAATTCAAATAAACTCATCATTTTTAGGCCCCTTTGAATCTAAGTATTTTGAACTCTATGAAGTTGTGACATAACAAAGAGCGCAAAGAGTCAAGAAAAGGATGCAAATCCACATTTTTTTGAGACATCAGGCGAATCACGTAAGAGCGTGAAGGGAGGCATGGGGATAAGGAAGACCAATTTGTGTGCTATTTAAAATTCACCGCCCGTAATGCTATTCAATTCATTTCTTATTATTATTATTATTATTATTATTATTATTATTATTATTCATTATTATTATTATTATTATTATTATTCATTAGTATTATTGTTGTTATTATTATTATTATTTCCGTTTCTTTTTAGGTTTTTCTTTCTGCATTTCCTTTCATTTGACTGATCATCACTCCCGATCTGCCGGACAATCTTTACTTAGCAATGCTTTTTTTCTCTTAACGCTTTTATTTTAACAAGACCAGCATTCCTCACAAATTTTGTGGACAGTCGCGTTCCAGTTTTTTTAAAATCTGACTAAGAACGTACCACAGTGATATCTTGGTGTCTACCGTCAAAGTTTTGCATTTCACGAAGACAGACTTTAACTGAGTCCTTTGTTAAGTCTTCAATCCAAATGAGAGCAGCATCATACTCTTTACCAGTCCTCAGGTGCTCTGACGTCACAAGGACTATTGGCGCCTCGGCAAACTTGCCCTGAAGAAAAAGCAATAACAACAATCGAAACAGCTTTTTTTGAATATTGCTACAAAATTACTTGACACTAACCACTAAGTAAGTTCCCATTCTTACTTGTTATCTAATGTTGTCTTGGTAACTAAGTCGCTAAGTCGGTCACAACTTTTTAGAAGATCTAGCAATCATCTCCCCAGTTACCTCGTAATGATCGATTATTTTTTGTTAACTTTGTGTCTCATTTTTCTAGTTCAAGGAAAGTTTTAATATGTTCTTTAACTTAAGATGTGAATTCTTGTCTTTCCATATTCAGTTAATTCAAATAGGTAAACAAATATTTTGTGTTTTTTTTATTTGTTTGTTTTTTTTTGTTGTTGTTGTTGTTGTTGTTGTTGTTGTTATAAGCTGCTTCTTTGTATCAGATTAGCGCTTCATTTTGTTGAAATGGATGTTAAGGAGGTCTCTCCTTCACAGTTTCGCTCTTGATGTTTTTCTTCTTTTGTTACGCATACAAGTCGTGTATAAATCTGTCAAGTTTTGGCTAAGGGGGTCACAAGACTCAATTTTCCAATTATTTAGTATTTATTTGTTTTGTTTTGTTTTGTTTTGTTTTTTTTTTTGCTGTTTTTGGTGTTGTTTTGTTTTGTTTTTTTTTTTGTTTTTTTTTTTTAAGACACGGATTAAAGATGTCACATGAATGAAAGTCTAACATTCGTCATGGAGACTTTAACTGAATTTGCAACAATTATTTAATTTAATATGTACATTCCCATCTCACCGTAGGAAAGGTTACATCTGCGCAGTTGGTACCAGACCACCATTTCTGCAACTCAACCGTTCCCGTCAATCCTTCGGGCGGTGCTCCTTGATAAGCCACCCAATCAATGGTGGCAAATGGATTCGCGCCTTCTTCTTTCCTCCCGGTTTGCATGACACAGACGGTGAAGTTTTTTGTGTTGATACTTTCTGTCCATGAAGTAACAGCGTCGTGGACTGTCACAGAGTCATTCAGCTTCATGTGATTGACGGTTATTTGAACATGAACTTGTTTATCCGGATAAAACCGGTATGGAGGAAATGTGACTGTCTGACAGTTTGAATCTGACCATTTTGGAACCTGTAGCAGATCTACACGGCCCCGAACAATTGGAAAGCCTGTTTTGTAATAAATTAAGTACTTTATAAGGAAGCATCACTGTGCTCTTTAAGCATTATCGCTTACGTAGCTTCCCTAGCTTGCGTTGTAGTGCAACTCTAAGTGGTGAAGGGTGGTGATAAAAAAAGCGTGGAAATGGAACTAAAACTAGGCTGTAACTTGCAATGTCGGCTACCTTTCTACAACGAAATGTATAGTGGCTGCTTATTATTGCATGCTGGTTTCAGTGCCCAAGATAAACATATGCCAGTTCAAAGATAAACATATGCCAGTATATTGGGAGCGCGCGCCACTGCGGGAAATATTTGATTTTCAGCAAATTCACTCAGTGCCAATAAGATGCAAAAAAGTTGCAAAAGAGGATGAAATCAAGGGCAAAGATAGTAAATACTGCATTTGCCCTCAATTATGCAACTCCATTTGTCTTTGATTTCCTCCTCTTTTGCACTTTTTTGCACCATATTTGCCCCGAGCAGATTTAAGTAATCTAATTTTACGCGATAAAAACTAAATTGCAAGACAAATGAGGATAAAAGATCTTACACAGACCAAACATTGGCTATAGTCTGGGCTGCTATATGTTTGTTTGCCAAAGCAGAGAGACGAAGTAGCTTGTTACAGCTGTCTATCGTTGTTTAGCCTGCGTGAGGAGCTAAAGGCGAGCTTAAAAGTAACGAAAAGTTATAAACATCATAGCTTGAAGTCAATTCAATTTTGAGCCAACACCAATAATTCTAAGCAATCGAGAGCTTAACTCCCAGACTATTTTATGTGGCATATACAGCCAAAAAAAAATCGCTGACATTATTTTTCGTTATACCTTCACAGCTTCCAGGGTGATAAACCAGATTATTTTCAAGTCCTCTACAATAGCTTAACTTATGCCAGCATCGGTTGTCGTAAGTTGTTCCGTTTGCAGTGCACACTGGGTCTTTATATGAAGGGCATTGGTCATCGCACTCACACCGAGCATCATGCGCACTGTAGGTCCTGCAGACTCCAAACCGTGGGCAATGCACATTAAGGCAAGGATTAAGGTCTGTACCAAGAAAAAAGAGACATAATATTGAGTAGTTATCCATTTGGAAAAAAACATAAATGTTTAATATATTTTTCATATTTCAATTAAAACTAAGTTACTGTTCAGTAGTAGTAACATGTTTGCTTGTAGGTACCTCAACAAATGTTTTTTTTTTTTAATCCTTAGTAGACCTAATTAACGATACCCGCCATCTCTGCCAGGCTTAAGGACTGATGGAATAAATTAAAGCAATGTTACGTGGTGTCTCAGGGGGCAAGCAAGGGATAAAATCAGTAAATACAAGAATGCAGTCGATTACTCGATTACTAGTATTGGCAATTTTATTACTTGTGTGCCCTCTAATTGCTCTTATTCCATCAATAATCAATCTTAAAGTTCGTGCAAAGATAGAGTGTAACATGAATAAGGTATATCTGTGTTTGTACTCCAGTGTTTGCTTAATTATATCATGAAATGTATTCCTACATATAAGAACTTCTAAAAGATATCAATAAAAATAATAGTAATAATGATAATAAAAATAACAATAGTTCTTACTAGAAATAGTGATCATTACAATAGGAACATTATAAACAACCTCCAGTAACAGCGTAGCTGACAATCAAGGGATCATGACTCGATCCTAATCCACTGAGGTCTTTAACGCAGACCTTCATAGATTCTAATCCAACTTCCTACAGCAAAATGTGATAGAACTCATCAGTTACTAGAAAATCCATAATTTCTGCTTGATTTCTACGACGATACCTTTAAGTCATGAAATTCAGGGATCAGATCCAAATTATTGTTTTCTTATGGCTTTTTCACAGTTTTCACAGTCCTTTTACAAATTTACTGGAATAAACGGATTTCTTCTCTCCCCTGATTGAACAAGGGATATGGGCTTTTGGGTCTCAAAGGTGTCATGAGAGTTCAAGCAAACAATTGAATAGAATAATGTAGCAAAGCACTGAAAGAATCCCTGTTCATTATCATTAACCTCAAGTGACCATCAAGAATATAACCCAGTGAGGAAAACCCCGTTTCATGACGCAATTACTGGCTTTTCCGTGAAAAGACGTCTGAGGAACGAGCGCAGAAATTGCGTACTGATGATGTGTCACTACGCAGATCTGGACATGCAGTACTTTTGACTGGTTAAAGAAAATTTATTTTGCAGCATGACCAATCAGAAGCACTATCTTGATCTGGGAAGTACACGTCATCAGTATGGAATTTCTGCACTCTTCCACAGACGTCTTTTCACGGGAAAGCCAGTAATTGCGTCGTGAAACGGGGTTTTCGGGGTTTTCTTCATTTTGTGGGAAAACTAGTGCTGGCGTCGCGCGAAATGTCGGGAGGCTGTTTTCTCAGGTTAGAATAAAAAAGCAAACTTACCTCTAGCCAGGCTGAAATTATATTATTTTCTGGAGGACGACTTCCCTTGACCTTAAGATTATACTCATGATTTACGGAAAGAATCACAATTGGCGATTTGTAAAAGGTCGTATTGAAAGGTACTTCCTGTAAATAGGTAAAAAAAGTCATGTAAGTTAGTAAATGGATCTGAACGTGCTCACTTCTCCCTCTATTTTTGCCCATCTTCTGTTAAGTCCCCACTTCTAATATTCGCCCACTGTCTACAACGCGAAATTGAAGAGAGTCGAAACAAAATTCTCGCAAAGTCACGAAATTTAAAAATCGCGAAATATGCGCACAACAAAATCGCGAGACAAACATGTCGCGCACATCTGGGAATTGCCATTTTGGATACAATGTTGATTACCATGGCCTGGTAAGCTTGGGTTTACTGTATTTTAAGTTTTCTTTAGTGTGAACTTAACCACTAAAAAATCAGTGTTCTTTGGCTTGCTAAATGTTCTTGTTATAACTAAAGTTTTCACCTGACAGAAGCCGTAGTTGTTTTTGGCCAATGGATTTCCACTGTTTGGAAAGATTTCTTCCCCAGTTATTGTGAAATTAAGTTGACTCCCATTCCCAGTGAATGCAAACCAGTCCTGCGGACAAGAAAATAATTTTAATTTGCTACCCTTTTCTTTACAAGACGAGTTGCGTCAGGTTTCGAACCACATTTCCTTTAACAAGAAATGACTGCATCACTTACCACAACTGCATCTTGGTGTTTTCCATCAAAGGGCAAGAATTCCCTTAAGCACACTTCAAATCCTCCAGAATTGACGTTCTCTAACCATAAGTACATAGCGTCATTTGGCTTTGTGCTGCGAGTGTATTTAACAGAGACAAATACACGAGGCTTGGAAGCAAAGCTCTGCAAAAAGATGTTAGATATATGAAATTAACACTATTGACTGAAAATAAACAAGCTTCTCGAAAGATAAATCAGCAGGAACTTATCCATGAAGTACTTAGCGGCACTTAAATGAAATTTAGGATTTATCAAAGGCTGAGGGGAGCAGATTAATCAAATCTACTTGTCTATTCACATTAACTCAATTTTCTACCCCTCTTTCACCTCTTTCTACGAAGTGTTGAAAAGGTTGGTGAATGCATCTTATTTGGCCCATTACTTAAATAAAGTTACAAACAACAATGTTCGTTTTCGGCTAACTTTGTTAAGTTTAATGCCAAAAATTTAATATCATTAAATAAATAGACTTCTATTTTCCAAATTCTCTTTAACACATCAATACATTCAAAACGGTCACGCATTATTCAATCACTACCTCCAAAGTAAAACGTGAAAATGGCTTATCTTAAGGCGATGGAAGGAAAAGTTTGATACTAAGCGGCGAGAGAAAGCTTAAAAAGACTTTTAGCAGTTGACTCTGCTATGAAGAGCAAATTCCGGATATTAATTAGTGATCATTTGTTTTAGAACTACTTTCTGGTACTATTTCATTTGTTTCTACTATTTAATTACGTTTGCACCTTTATAGCAAAATTGTATACTTGTTATCAATCATTGGTATCTAACCTGAGAAAAGGCCACCTTCTCACACTTCGTTTCTGTTGTCCATATTCCGCTAAAAGTAACGCTTCCATGCGTTAACATAGGTTTGTCCTGAAACGCTACCCAGTTGATAATTCCAGTGTCGTTTGTAGAACCTGTTGCACGCGAGCATAACTGAAATCCAGCTGTACTAACGGACTCTGCCCACACGGCGGAAGGTGAATGAACAACTGAAGACTGATCTTCATGGCTTAATGACACAAAAACTCGAACCTAAAATGCGTTAGGTAAAGACAGGCATCAATGAAAATTTAACAGGCGACAACTCCACCCTAGACTATAAGCAGTCTCTCTTTTTTTTTCCCAATCCGTCGAGCGAGCGAAAAGCGCGAGACACGCGTGACCTTGCGCGTGACTGAAGGCGCGAGAATACCTCCCTCGTTTCTCGCGTCTGCTCGACGCTTCCGCGCGCGTTTACTCCACTCACTAAATCTGAAGAAAAAGAGAGTCTAGCTAATCCACCCCAATCACCCCCTTCCCTCCTCCCCACACACACACTTTCACACCCCCCCCCTCCTTTCCCATTTCATGGAATAGAGACCTTCTATATTTATCGTCAGAATCTTCCGACTTTTTATAATTGTTTTGTTCTGTTTGTTTTGTTCAAAAACACATCCCAGAGATTAGAAGCACTTAAGCATACCTATGCGCACCAATCGCTGACGTCAAAGCATCATAAAACCACAAGTACTTTGGCAAATCAAAATTTGTGAAGAACATTAGATTTTTAAAGAAGCTTAATGTGGTTCACTTACAAAAGAAAGTTACCCCGAACCCTGAAGATTAGACTATAAGTTTTAATTGCTTAGGGTTTACTTACGGTTCCAGATCCACTAAGCGTTTGCGGAAATACTACGTTAGTGCAGCGTGGCAGTGTACAATGTTGTGGCGCCTCACATCCGCTGTTGCAATTCCATCCTTGACGTGTCTCTGATGCGTTTAGTTTTCCAACTTGGTAGGAAATACCTGAAAATGAGTAGAGTGTGGCTTGAAATTAAGGAGAGGCGAGGGGCGTGTCTCAGAGCGGCTGTGTTTTAGATGTGGAAATGATGGAACTGATCGGTTCCTCTTTATTTATTTTTGTGAATTATAAGCCTTTTTTTTCAAGGATTTTGTGAATTTCATTTTTCATATAAATAGCGCGGTAAAAACGTAACTTGGCCTAGTTCTATTTAAATACAAAAAAAAAAACAATAAACGACTCAGTCTACGGTCGAGATGCACAGGACCGAAAAATGCGCTAAAAGAACGCTTTTCATTTGTATCATAAAATGTTTGATTGTCGTTATGTGAAGAAAATTCAGGAAGACGAATTTTACGATATATACTTCAGATATTCTACATTTAAAATACCCCAAATGCTCTTAATCATAAAATGGTAATGGATAAGTTGGTGAATTGCATAACTGGCCAGATATCTGGCCAGCTCGATATAGACTCACGCTGAGACATTTGGCGACAAATTATTTTAGGAAAGTAATATCAAATTAAAGAAAAAAAAAATGCACACTTAGATACCATCCTATTGAGGTTGTCTTTGTTTTGGTTTGTTGTTGTCATCAAGCTTCAATGTTTCACTCTATTCTGAAGTCCATCCTACTGGCAAACTCAAATTGCTTGGCAATTCTCTTTAGAATTGCTTCAAGTCTCATTTCAGTCGACTCCTCTAGCTACTTTTTTGTTTATTTTCAGTTATTCCACTTGAAAGAACATCTAAATGTCTTGATTCTGGTCAAGTTACACGTGCACAAACATTATCAGGTGATCTCGGTTCCTTGCACCAAAAGGGTAAGGAGCAATGACAGTTATCGTTGATTGGATTAAAACAGAACTCTACGAAGTAGGAAATCTGTAGATGGGTACCGAGAAGTACAGGAATCATGGGAATGACTGACTCGGAAAAATAAAAATCAAAAATATAAAACTTGTTTAAGGTTTTCTGTTAAATGCGGGTCGCTGAACTGACAGAAATCATTACTATTCCTTCAAAAGTTTGAAATATATTAAAACTTCCGCATTGCGTCAGAATGTGGGTGTGGATGCAAGTCTTAAGGACAGGTTTTTCCAAAGTCCTCACCCCACTGGCAAAATGTTAGGTTTTGAAATCTTAAAACTGCCAAGTCATGTAAGGATATGAAACATCGAATAAATGTTTATCCCTTTTTTTTTCGTGTTTCTTCGATCCGAGTGGTAACCAGACTACAGAGCTGACTGTTCTATTTGTAGATATTTTGACAGAGTTGCGGCAAACAAATAAATCGACCGAGAGCTTTAAAATATGGTCATTTTCTTGAGAACATTGCATGTAGAGGATCGCAAATAACGAGATGATAAATACATCGAATCGACTTAACAATTCGTCAGCTCCGCGAGCACTGATTTAGTTACTTAAAAGCGAGATGGAGTGGCGGTAGTGTCCCCCACATCCCCACATTTGTAAACAAATCACTATGATGAATTCAAATGATCTAACCTCCAGACATTCTTGCTTTAGTTGAGATCTAGAACAAGTATATTCTCTAAAAAAATGTAAATGAAAGAAAAAGTCTTCGACCGAGTTGAATTGGGTTTCAAAAGATTGAAGTTTAAGAATTTTAAAACAATTGCTACTAGAAAAAAGTAACATTTTTGTCAGGTATAATAACCTACACATGTAGATTGCAATGGCCTAGGATGAAAAGAAGAGCTGTGTACCTTCTACAGTTGTAGCGAGAATCCCCAGGTTCAGGAGAAAGGCAAAAACGGTAAATTTCCTGAGGTCCATCCTGCTGCTTAATCTAGAGGTAATGGCCTGTCGACAGGTGGGGGTTTTGTTTTATGCGCTCGCGTTTAACAAATCAAGGATCCAAATATCCTAAATCTTCTTACCAAGTAAAAACAAGCTGATTGGGTAATAAAGGCGCTACATGCTGCATATTACAAAAACAACATTTTCTTTGGCTTTTAACGGTATCACAACAGTTACGGGCGTGTACTTTATTATATTGTTAGCTTATAGCCAACTTAAAGCATAAATAAACAATAAGAACAACAAAAGCAAGACCGGTGACTTTTAATGTACTAAAAGTATTTCATCACTAGATGCAAACTAAAGAGAACTAAAAATGATACTTTTTGCCTTTATTTTGACTGATTTCATATACAATGTAAATTTAATAGAAATGGATTTTCGCTTTGTCCCAAAGTGCAGTCCGAAACTCCCCTGTCTGCAAAAATAGTTCAGATTATCAAATGTCTTTTGAGCGCAATTCTTTCAAAAGCAGTTTCATACATATTCCGCCAGATTTGATGTATTTACTGATTGCAATGGCAACGATTGTTTACAGTCTGTTTCCTAAACTTTGTATTCCCTGTTTAAGGGCAGCCATGCTGGCCAAACCTGGAATGTAACTAAGAGCTGAGTTTTCTTGACCATGTTGACTGAGGTTTTGATACGTGCGGTATGCCACGTCAAGCGTTTTAGAACAGATTACGTTTTCTAAAAAAAAGGGAGACGCTGCAAACTGTCACTTATAATCAACCATCTGCTGTTTTCTTGTTCATTTAAAGATATTATTGCATTTACACTTTGTTCGTGATTTAACTTATTAAATAGTTGATGATGCCTCTTTTACTGGGCAAACCGTACTGTCTTTTAAAAAGCCAAGTAAATGTTAAGGGTTTTCGCAATGACACGTACCATCTTGGCGCGACAAGTATGGGTTATGTTCAGAAAGCGTTCGCTCGTCTCATGCAATACCTTTAACGGAACATTAAGGAAAATTTTCTTTCTGCGTCATTTTTCAACAGTCAGTAAAGGGTAAGCTGTTAGTACCTTAAATGAGCATTTAACTCCCTTTTAAATCTTCCGGTTTTTTGTTGTTCTTAAAGGGATATGTCGTAACATTTGCTTGCACTCTGTGTGAGGTGCAAGCCAATGTACACAACTGCTACCTTTTAGAAACCACTTAACAGTAGAAGGGCTTAATTAGGATTAATCCCCTAAAAGTAGCCTGCGTGGCAGCTTTAAAACCGGAAAGGGGACGCGGGAATTGGGGGCGTGACAGCGCGAGGGGAGCACGAGGAGGGAAAAGGGAAAAGAGGGGAAAAGGTTTCCGTTTTCAACATCCTCACGCGCCAGAATTTTTGCTTTCCCTTCCCCTTTTGACGCCTGCTACGCAGGCTACGACCCTTAGTGAAACCCTGCATTCCAACTTCCGCAAGTCAATGATTAAACTGCACGCTGTGAAGCTTTAAATTAACATAACGTCTTCTTACTGCTACTGAAAACCTTGCATACATTGGAAATCCAGTTTCAATCTTTTCAATCCAACATGTACACGAAATTCGAGGAATCTAGCAGCACATGTAGTGAAAAAGTAAAAACTCAGAAGTAAATCATTTTATTAACCACTTGTCAGACAGTTTTTATTTTCGCTTGTTCACATCTTAAACCAGTTTTTGAATAAATAGTAAATTATGGCTTTCAATACTGCCGGTTGCCTTCTAAAAGCGTGAGATTTCTTCACTAAAAACGATAAAAGTAATTATTTTACTGCGCCCGGTATCCAAAGAAAAGTTACCTATCAAATAGTAAATATTTTTTTATTATTCCCGGTAATGAGTCTCTTTTATTCCACTAGGACTTATCTACAGCTTTAGTTTTTTGACCCAGGTACATCTTAATACCGCCTAATCGACGATTAAGCAGTCTTTAGACTGAAGGAATCACTCTCCCAAGAATTAGCAGAGGAGACCTAAAAATAGAAAACTAACTGAAACAGTTGTTTTCCACATTTAAAAGGTCTTATTGATTCTTTATTTTTGGTCATATATTATATGCAAGTTTTTTGCGTGACCATAGAGGATAGTTGACTGATGACACTAACACTGCTAAAGCTCTCTTATGCTGTTTTCAGGTCTCCTGAGTGTCTAACATTAATGGAAACTAAGTATGAAGTCCCATCACGATAAAGTTAACCTGTTAGAGCGAAAAACGAGAGTGAAGAGATGGCCGGCTTACGTTAGTCTGGTGAGCTGAATTCGTCTGTTCGGGCAACTTTTCTAAGGGTGGTTGACCAGTATCTCAATACATTTACTTCCTTATAAGACGATACGCCGAGACACTCAAAAGGCTTTTCCTTCTTATTTGCTAAGTGCTTTATACCTAGGATTCAGACCTTTAAGGTTAATTATGGAATGTGATGTATAAGCTGCCAGTCGAGACAATATGTCTTGTCAGATTTTAAAATGCATACAAAATGTACGTTCTCCTGCTCACTAAATAAGGTATTATCATTCAAGTATAGAAGCTTCCCCTAACCAGGTTTAAAACTGCTTAACCAGTACAAGAAAACAAGAACAACAAAACACGATTAATACTAGTAAAATCATCAGGCACCAGTAAACTGTTTCTAAGAGGAACCTTTGGGACGCGCACTTACTGTTTGTCTAAGGCTGATGTCCGTCTTATTAACAGCCAAATAAAGGGATCAGAGAAAGGAACGGACCAACTGTAGATGTCGTTTTTACCGAGTACCCTGTACCAGAGACAGAAGAAAGGCCACATAAAAAAGTAGAAAAGAGCTTACATGGTAACAAGAAAATCATTTCTGGTATCATGAGGACTCCACCTGGTGATCAAAACCTCCTTTCGTCTTCTTGATGGAGGGGGAGAAAGGGAGGCTCTGCCTTAAACGCGTCAAACCTTTGAGGTCGCCGCAGCCCTTCGTATTTTACTGCCTTACAAGACATCAATAATCTCAAAACTTAAGGGTAATACAAAACGAAGGTTAATCTCGAGACTCTGAAAATTTAAAAAAATCCATCGAGCGGTTTCAAAATTATTCGCTTATTTGTTTAAGCAGACCAAAATGTTTACCAAACAGCTAAATAGGGCACCTCAGCACATACTTATCAAATCCTTCTTTCTACATCGCTCGGCTAAAGCTATTCCCATGATCTTTGACGCACATTTTTAAGGACAGGTAAAATTTCATTTCA